AAAACTAATTAATTGTCGCCTTCCACCCGCGTTTACGTAATTAAACAAGTTTCAGGAGGCATTTTTCACAGCGCGCTCGTCTCATTTAACTGCAATCTCGTAAAAGCATTAGCCAATATTTTCCCCGGGAACATCTTCGTATCGAATAAGCACTTCTATCTCAATTACGTGTAATAACAGACGCGGCAATGGAACGTGAAGATTTTTAAAGAGCCGTTGTGGGATTCCCAGGTTAAATTGACACAGGATAGTTGGAACGAAATTTATCAATTATTCAACTATTTTTTTTCAGAATGATATTTTCCGCGCGGAGAGTATCAATGTCAATCGTTAGTGTCAATAAAAGAAAAGTTAAACGACGAGAAATTCGAGCGATCGATGCCGTTCCATTGCGATAACTGATGGAAAATTTTCCAACTAGACTGCGAGAATGTATTCGCTGTCGCAGAGACCATTGAAGAAATAATTGAACTACTAAATTGCATTGTACAGCTATCTCTAAAAATAATCGAACAGTTGTTAAATTGCATTGTACAACTGTTTCAAAAAATAATTGAACAATCGTTAAATTGCATTACCTGTACAATAATTTAAGAATGTAGTTTAAAAATGACATTTTTAAAGTGGCATTTGCGATAGCGGACATATACTTACAACATGGTCGAAAATTTTTCTTTGTATTCAAAAACAAAGATGCTTCATCTCAATTTCACTTGAACTCTGACGAGTTCCAGTGTCTCTTTAAAGTACGAAAAAGAAGATTACAAGGTGAAATGAAATAATTTTGCACACACCTGTACATTCTGCTATCACATATTTACAAATATAGTTTCGTCAATTTCTCAAACGGAACACTCTATTCTTCTACTTCGCACGTTTCAACTCTCTCCAACCAAAGATAACCCACAGCAGCTCTTCAAAAATCGTCACATTCCATCGTCTCACCCGTTACATACCAAAGTACACACACGAATTAAATTCCCTCTACTATGTTCCATTTTGTCAGCAAGCTAATTTGTACCCTCCCACGAGGAACATTCTCGATAGATTAATCTCGAAACAGGCAAGTATCGTCATAGAAAACAGGTCCCAAGAGGCAGAGATAAACTATCGACTCACCAAATTGTCCGGATGAAGATGGTGATGGCCGTAGTCCCTTGTGTTGCCCCTTGACCCGCCAGGTGAACTATGCCTGCGTCCTCTTCCGTTCTCCAACTCGTCGTCGTAGTCCTGCAAAAGAAAAAAGCAAACGAGCCTCCCCTTTATCGCGTTCTCCGACAGACAATAGAGAAAGAGAGAGAGAGAGAGTGAGAGAGAGAGAGAGAGAGGGTACTTTCTTCTCTCGAAAGGGGTACACAGGTTCGTCTATCGAGCCATCGAGCAGCACAGACATTTTCTGTACCTGGTTGTCGCACTCGTCGTCGTTGGAGAGGGCGAGATCGGAGGTCGTCACTTGATGCTGTTGAGCCCTCCTGCCGCCCACTCTGCAATCGCCAAAATTCCGATTTCAGACTACCCCCAACCAGTGTCGAGAGACCATCAAATTCTCCCTCTCGCTCTTTTTAGTCATTTTCATTTAGATTATAGCTATAGATTGACGTTCACCACTTTTCCAACATTCTTTCTTTTTTTTTTTCTGCTCTTCATCGTTCAGACGATCTCTACCTGTGTCCGTTTGATCTTCTGCTCTTTTTCTTTTCTTTTTTGCTCTTTCTCCTTCTTACGTGAAATTCCCCCAAGTGTTTTTTTTTTCTCTCTCCCGTGTAAGCCTGTACGTGTTAGTCAAGTGAATATTTCAAGCGATCCAATCGATTACCGTTCACCGAAAATAGACCGATTTCTCGAGCCGTAGGGACGCATGACCCGGATACTATCGCTACCGATATGGCGGCTTCGGTTCAACCGTACGGGAGAAAAGGTTTGCAGTTAAAGTCGACGTCTGCACAGGTGGCCGCTGATAATTCGACGATTCAGGGATGGAGTTTGAGATTGAAGAGGATCTCGTGACGCGAGATCGTTTCGATTTAAGGGCGAGAATAGAACTGTGTGTATTCTGACACGGTGAGGTTGGAGAGAAGAATGGAGCACATATGAGCGTGGGTACTGGCAATGCAGTTATTTACGTGCTTCTCATCGATTATTTAACGAGCCGGAATACATGATAACGGCCAATGAGAGTACACCCCCGCGGGTATCGCATGCCAAATTTATTTCCGCGGATGAACCACGTCCTTCGATGGAGTTTTAAGAGTAGCAGGTACCATCGATCGATTGGAACGACGTCAATCGTGTTTCCTTTTTTTCTTGGAGCTTTTGGTCAGTTTTTGGCAAAAATTCGTACACTCTTTTGTGATAAGATTCTGGTTTAATTAAGACGAATTCTGATTTAGCCAAGGTAATTTTTAAATACTTTAAGGAAAAGTATGTTGATCTTTGAGTCGAGAAGTTTGGACTCTGGTGAATTTGAAGGATTCGTGGAAAATAGTCAAACTTCTTTAATTGAAATGGTCCAACTTCTTCTTTCACCTCCTTTTTTGAGAGGAACTGGAAGAAACTTCCACTTTGGAGATGAAATAAACAAAAGAATTCCGTTATGGATGAATTTACTAAATTAACTCTGTTTTACTGTAGAAAATTGTTAATTTGACCCTAGAACATTCAAACAGGGTACTATCACGTCGACATTTACACTTAAAAAAATATCGTTAGATTTGTTTCGACCTTGAAGTAAACAACTTTTGCAATTTTAATTCGAACAAAGCTAGCAAAAATAAATGCAAATATTTTCATTATATAGAGTGCAGTATGGTAATTTCACCAACACACTAATTCCACGAATGTCACGAAGGATTAACGTTAGCATTTCAGAGGTAAATCTGTACAACAAAAGTGCACGAATTTTTGCATCAATGCCAACATTTCACGAGATTCACAAGCAATTAAAAAGGAATTCATATTTGATCGAAGTGTACTTTATACGTAAAAATGTCCTGACACAGAGTTTCTTTGTTAAATATTCCAGCAGCCGAGTTCGTCTCTGACGTTGACGTAGTAGAATGGAATAAAAATGAAGACTGAACTCCCTCCACTTGTCGTCACGAG